TTGGAAAAATGTTGTTCTGTTCTTTATAGAGCAGGTTGGTGGGCAGGAGTAACACTGAACATAGAGAGGAGATGATGATTATTGATCATTGAAAAATAAATTATGGAGATTGTGTTTAGAGTGGTTGACAGTGGAGATGGAGAATACTAGGCTGGAAATATGAGGTAGGACTGATAGGAATTAGTGAATGATGGGATGTAATGAATAAAGGAGAAGGCATTGTCAAGGGTAACCCTCAGGTTTATGACATGAGCAACTGAAGTAATAGTGGTGTTATTTTTTAAAAGATTTATTTTATAGATAGGGAGAAAGCATATGTGCAAGCGTGGACGCAGGGAGGAGGAGGCAGAGGGAAGAGACTCTTCAGCAGATCTTGCGCTCAACAGGGAGCCTGATGTGGGGCTCAACCTCATAATCCTGAGTAGGACCTGACCTCACCAAGAGTCGGGTGTTCATCTCTGCCACCCCGGTGACCCTAGTGGTGCTGTTTTTATGAGCTAGGGAAAGTTAGAGAACGACCAGAGTGGGGTAATTCAGAGATGACTAATTTGGTTTTGGACATGAAGAGGTTGTGATGCTTTTGTGAAATCTAAATGCAGATGTCGGTTGGCTGTTTGGGTAGACTGGATAGAGCTTGGAGAAGAGCTGAGATGGAGAGAATTACTAGTATAAGGATGGTATTGGAAACTGGATGTAGAAGAGGGTTACTTTGATGGGTGTGAAAAGGACCTAGTCCTAGGAGTAACACTGGAGGTTTGGTAGAGTAAGTTAAGTCTGTTATAAAGTAGGCTGAGAAGGAGCAACCAGAAGAAAGGAAACCTTGGAAACCAAAGAAAAACATGAGCTTAAGGAGAAGAGGGGAGTGGTTAAGCATAGAATGCTGCTTAGACGTTAAATGAGGGCCAAGCTGTTTGTTGGCTTTAGATATACCAGGGTCATTAATGTTCTGCTGTTCTACAGGTTTAATAAAAGCAGATGTCAGATGGGATTGGGTTGGAAGAGTATGAGAGGTAAGGAAATAGAGGCTGGGAATTTAGACAACTCTCTTAATGAGGTGGTGAAAGAAGAGAATGGTTTCTGGAGGAGATGTGAGGTTGAGGTGGTAAGTAGAAGGAGAATTTTCTCAAATGAATGAGTAAATGGATGGATGGGTGGTCCATTTGAGTGTGAGAAGTTGATGAATGTATATCCATGTAGAAGGGGACTGCCTTTAGACTGGAGGGAAGAACAGCATGGTGGAAAATGATGTTCTAAGGAAGTAAATGCTGTATTTACTATTTCATTTACTTAAATGCTTATTTACTATTTCATTGTGAATTTACTATTATACCAGGTGGTTGAGAGCCTTTTATCCCATTTATAAGATGCAACTATTTGATAATTTTATCTTTTTCTTTTCTTTCTTTTATTTTTTTTTAAGATTTTATTTATTTATTCTACAGAGATCACAAGTAGGCAGAGAGACAGGCAGAAAGAGAGGGGGTGAGGGAAGCAGGCTCCCTGCTGAGCAGAGAGCCCGATGTGGGGCTCGATCCCAGGACCCTGGGATCATGACCTGAACCGAAGGCAGAGGCTTTAACCCAGTGAGCCACCCAGGTGCCCCAATTTTATCTTTTTCTATTGCCAGCTACTTTTAATTACCTCTACCAAGAATATCCATGTATTTTTCTGGACCAAAAACAATATATGCAGTAAATACTCTGGTTGTTGGGGAAGATTACTTTGTACACATGACATCTTTCCCCACTGTGTTTAGGGCACTTTATTTTTATTCTGCTGCAAAGAGTTTTGTCAGAGCTTGTATTTTCACTTCCTGTGACTTTTTCTTTCTTTTGTGTTTTATGAATTACGACAAAATTCCGCTACAGAGGGGAGACTCTAATAGACTTCACATGACTAAATTTGACCTGAACAGTGGTTGCTGTCATGAGCAGAAAGGAGAACTCCCCTTTTATTCAGAAGACTTTTCAGTAGACTTTTATGTTTGAGTGGGGTTTTGAATAGGTAATACTTGCATACTTGCACGTGATAGTAGAATCAAGAGGTAAAAACAAAACAAAGGTCTTTTGACTCCTGTTCTCTCATTCGCTTTCTTTCCTTGCCAAAGTAGCTGCTGTTACCTGTTTTCTTGAGTATCCTCCTAGAGATTCTGTACATATGCTGACAAACTCATAAGTATAATTTTGTTCTTTATTTACACAAATGGTATAATGTACCTTTTTTATTCATTTAACATTATGTATTGAAAATTGCTCCATATTAGTGTATTAAAGAGCCTTTTCATCCTTTATGGCCACATTGTATGGACATGTCACCGTTAGCTAACTGGTCTCCTATTCATGGTTGATGCTAGTGTTTGTGATTAAAATTGCTTTTTTTAGGCAGCAGAAGTCATAAACTCTTGTCAATGAACTCTTAAATATAAGGATCTTGAAATGAAAGATAATTGAGTTGTCATATTGAAAGACAATGATAATTTGATGTTTTCTTACAAAGAAAAACAGTCTGGATTTATTTGTCCTACCCACACAACTTACTTACTGAACAGTTTTTTTTTTTTTTTAAGATTTTATTTATGTATTTGACAGAGAGAAAGAGACGGCAAGAGAGGGAACACAAGCAGGAGGAGTGGGAGAGGGAGAAGCCAGCTTTCTGATGAGCAGGGAGCCCGATGTGGGGCTTGATCCTAGGACCCCGAGATCATGACTTGAGCCAAAGGCAGACACTTAACAACTGAGCCACCCAGGCAACACATAGGAGTTTTATGGTCATATTAACATATTCACTTTTCCACCTGATGTTATATTATGTACTTCAAAAAGGCCCAGGGTCTCCTGCTTTCAAAAATTAATTTGAGACTTTTGATTCTTATGCTTTATTTATGTCTGACATTAATTTCATTTGAGTATATTTCTAAAATATTTCAGTTGTAAAAATTTTTTTTATTCTGGAATATATAACATCATTCTCTACAGAAGAGTCAACTCTCATTTTTATTAAGTTAGAAAATCTTGATCCATTCCTCATATTTGCGGTAGTTCATATCTGAATATTTTATTTCCTGTTTGTATTGCCAACATGCTTTAGTTATGACACTGGCAGTTTCCTGGTTTAACTTTCACTCCCTCTGTTGGCTTTCAGAGGTGTTACATTCCTTTTGGAATTGTGTTAGGAATAACATTTATGCTCATTTTCATTTAATTCAAAAATTAGTAATGATGCAAATATGCTTATGAAATAGGCTACATATGGGATTGTTTTACGTTAATGAATGTTTCAGTGGCCGCAGATGTTCTGGTTTTCATGAATGTGTTGAGGAACCTTCATCAGAATGTCTGTTTCATCAGCAGCTGAGAACAAGGCCATGAAAAACAAAAAATAGGAACATAGAATATTCATGTTTATAGTAAGCAAAAAGTAGGCTTGGTATGTTAGATCAAGGAAAAGATATTCTGAGTATCTTCTGGTTGCTGTCTACCGTTTATTAAATTGTTAGTAGAGTTGATGGAGCGAAATGAAGATGTCTTACGGTGCCTAATTAGCACACCATCTAGGTCAGTGTTTGTATCTGTCACCATTGGGACATCATAATTGCCTTCGGTAACATTACCTGTACAGAGTGAGATATTTACTTGTTTTGCACGTTCTTAGCACCATTCTTTTAAAACCAGACCACCAGTTAATGAAGTTCGCTCTGTATGGGTTACAACTCTTGTGTTTAAAGATTGTGTCCTGTTTCTCCATGATTAAGTAGAGTTGTAGTACACTCAGTATGGGATGGATGTTAGGTTCTCAAGTTAGCATAGAGGGGCATCCAGGTGGCCCAGTCAGTTGAAATCCAACTCTTGGTTTCCACTCAGGTCATGATCTCAGGGTCTTCGGATCCAGCCCGGAGGTCAGGGAGGAGTCTGCTTGAGATTTTCTCCTTTTCCCTCTCCCTCCTCTGCCCCTCGTCCCACTCATGCTTTCTCTCTCAAATAAATAAAATATTACCAAAAAAAAGTTAGCATATAAGGCAGAGAATGTATGTAGGGTGTTTTAAACTCCTTAAGTCATTCATAGACTAGAGTATACTAGGCTTTCTGGGTTCACAAAGTAGTTGGTCTGTATTTAATGGCTGCTGTTCATGAAACAAAACATGTTGAAACACTAGGCTCACCTTCAGCCTGATGAGAGGTATGTGGGAACTAGGAAGGACCGTGAGGAAACAGCGTAGTGAGACCTGGCCTCTTCCTATGCGTACAGAGCAGCTTCTTCTGAGAGGAATAGCACAGAGGTGTGATGCATACAGTTACTTTGGGTGCTCATTTGCCAAATGCATGTAATTGAAAAAAAAAATTTTTTTTAACATGTGTACATGTGATGTTACTCCACTATAACTTCCTCTCTTTGAGGATTTGAGTATAAAAGTAATCATTCTAGCTAACTTTTTCTGAGACTAGTTTTTTTTTTTTTAAGATTTTATTTATTTATTTCACACAGAGAGAGATCACAAGTAGGCAGAGAGGCCAGCAGAAAGAGAAGGGGAAGCAGGCTCCCTGCTGAGCAGAGAGCCCGATGCAGGACTGGATCCCAGGAGATCATGACCCGAGCCGAAGGCAGTGGCTTAACCCACTGAGCCACCCAGGCACCCCTGAGACTAGTTTTTTTGAAGCATTCTTTTTCATTGATGTTAAAGTCAGAATATACACATTTAACTGTATCAGAGTTTTGAGGATCCTTTCTTGAATATTTTAAGTAAAGTTTTAAAATGGAAAATCCGTGTTTGGCTCCTTGCTGGGCTTGCAAGTTCAGTAATTGAGGATTAATATTATGCCATTTTTAGTAGTTGTGTATGCTAGTATTTTGATAGTACTAAGTTCTTCGGATTTGACTGTTAAGCAGATGACAGATTTTAAAGGCCTGGCTAAGGGTAACTTCTGCTACTCATTTAAGTAGGCATGTTGTATAGATAAATAATCTACCATTTCTGTTTATTGATTTTGTGTGTTTTTGTACAGGTTGCTTTCCTGTTGCATCTTTGACCTAGTTTCCTAGACTCTGCTCCATGATTTAACTTGAAAGTCTGAAATGAAGATGGAGGAGGCGGTGGGAAAAGTCGAAGAGCTCATTGAGTCTGAAGTCCCGCCAAAAACATCTGAACAAGAGACAACTAAGGAAGAAGATGGATCTGTAGAACTGGAATCTCAAGTTCCAAAAGATGGGGTAGTGGATTCTACCGTTCTGTCTTCTATGCCCTGCTTATTGATGGAACTGAGAAGGGACTCTTCTGAGTCTCAGTTAGCATCCACAGAAAGTGACAAGCCGACCACTGGCCGAGTTTATGAGAGTGACTCCTCTAATCACTGCATGCTTTCTCCTTCCTCTAGTGGTCACCTGGCTGATTCAGACACTTTGTCTTCTGCAGAAGAGAATGAACCCTCTCAGGCAGAAACAGCCGTGGAAGGAGACCCTGCTGGAGTGTCTGGTGCCACAGTTGGGCGCAAGTCTCGGCGTTCCCGATCTGAAAGTGAAACATCTACCATGGCTGCCAAGAAAAACCGGCAATCCAGTGACAAACAGAACGGCCGAGTCGCCAAGGTTAAAGGTCATCGGAGCCAAAAGCACAAGGAGAGAATCAGGCTACTGAGGCAGAAAAGGGAGGCTGCTGCACGGAAGAAGTACAACCTGTTGCAGGACAGTAGTACCAGTGATAGTGACCTGACTTGTGACTCAAGCACGAGCTCATCAGATGATGATGAAGAGGTTTCAGGGAGCAGCAAGACAATCACTGCAGAGATACCAGGTAGAGGATGTTTTTTAAACTGACTGTAGAGCAACCGATGGCATTTCTAAGCTGTCAGGTTCAGTTAGATGAGTGACACTTGAAAAAATCCAGGACCTGCAGCTCTGTGTAAATTTGAAGACTGCAGTGTATTAACAAGACATGGCCAATTTAAAAAACCTGTTCTGAGGTTTCCAGTGCACTTTAGCACCTCAGCAAAAAATACTTAAATGGTTAATGATAGGGACAAGATTATTTTTAAGTAATGGAATTTCTCACAAGTCTCTTTCTCTGTAACACATTACCTGAACTCCCATCATTGCCTTTTTAGCACTGCTTAGATTTAATACTCACTGTTCAGCATTATTACTAAGTAAATTCTCCTCAGGAATAGGCACTTTGCTTTATTATATAGCCACTGTACTTGAGCTTATGGTGTCTGAAATGACATGTTCCATTCTTCTGTTAAAGTTTTCTAGTAGCTGTTCCTCCTAAAACAGTAGTTTTATGAGCTTTTCCCCAGGTCAGTGCATGATGAGATATTTATCCTTGTTGCACATTTTTCTATTCTGAGTTGTCACTTGCATTGGAAAGAATGCTTTTTTGCAGTATTTTCTCTTTACTTTAAGAACTGGTGTAAGGGTGTGTAACTTATTACATGTTTGACATATCTGCTTTTTCCATATTATCATGACTGGTACTGTGTACTACAGAGGCATTCTTGAGATTTCAGGGTGCAAGAATGCTGAGGTCTGAATGGTTCTTAATTGGTGAATTCTCATTATTGAAGAGACTCTTATGATTAGAACATTTTATAAAGTACATGGCATTTAATAGATAATGACAGCATTGTTTATTGCTACATTAAAGAAGGGGAGGTTTTGGTTTTTAAAATTTTATGGGTGACTGTTCTTTCCTCTTATTTTTCTGAAAAGTTTGTTTCTATACATGAAGACAGCACATTGCTGATATACAAAGAATATTTCAAGAAAAATCATATTGGTTAATTGAGACTATAGCCAACCAAACTTACATAAACTCAGTAACAAGAATGATCCTATAGGTGTTCATCTTACAATAATAAAAGTCTCATCCAGATATTGCTTTAAATAGGATTTTTTAACAATTAGAAATGCTTACTGTTTTAGTATCTCTTGAACTCCTTTGGTAGTTCCTTGTGTTAAAATTGCTGGAGAGCGGGTTTATTTGAAGTTCATCAGTTGAATGCATGAGAGAAGCAGACTTTGGGGTCATTCTCAGACACATTCTAAGTATGTTTCAGTTTTTCATTTAATATTTTTTAGAAAGCTTGATTAGCACCTGTAAAATTGTTCATGCATTCTTCCTGTGTTCTGATTTGTTAATCAAGATCATGATGATACAGTGCTTAATTTCACTCACTAAACAGAGTTTTAGGTAACCACTCCAATAATTTGCCTCCTTATGGAAAGGGAAAAGAAGGTGGGTGAACAGAATAGACCCTGTTATAGAGGTGGCATGAGAAATGTGTTCATGGGCACTGTCCTGTTTGGGTTACATAGGTTAGGTGTGCTTTGTTTATACTGTCCAAACTTCCTTGCTATTTGACTACTTTCACCAGTGTTTAAAACTTCTAAAACCCTGGTGGTTTGTTTCTTGTCTATTCTGAATTGTATACAAACCAAAAGACCAAAGTAAGTTATCTGAGTCTGTGATTTAATTTCTCTTGCTCACAGCATTTAGTAAGGTTGTGGCTTTTGAAAGTTTGTAGGGTTTTCTAAGGTAATCCCGGCGAATCAAACGGTAGGTAAGGTGCTGGGCCACTTTATCTGACTGTCTAGACCGTGCGCACTGCACAGGTTCAGGAGGTGCTCTTCATGTGAGCGGGTATATAAAGCAGCAAAGATGAAGCAGCTGAAGTTTAAGTATTAGGAGGTTCCTTTCAAATGTCCATATTGCTACTCCTAAAAAATTATGACATTGTGCGTTTCTAAAGTAATAATTATGTATGTATCAGTTTCCTGAGTTACATTAGGAGTTCAGGAAAGGGGATACACTCAACCTAATAGCAAGGGCAATTGCTGAAAAGTTGTATAAATTGTAAAGGTTGGATAAATTATGAACTGACTTGGATAAATTATGACTGACTTGAACGTAGACCTTCGGGTGAACTTAAACTCAATGTGCCTGACAGAATCTCTTGGATGTTGACGTTTGAATCAAGCTGTTTACACAGAATGGATATCAAGAAGAAAAGTTAAAACAGATTCTTGCTATCCTTTTTCATCAAGGTACCACTGATTTAGTAATTCAGAAAATGCTTCATTTATAAACTTTATCAGCGGCATAAATGTTGAAGGAATTAGGCTTAAAGTTCTTTTACACCAAATTTACAATTAATGCATTTTCTTTTTTTTCTTTTTTCATTTTCATTTTTTTAATGCATTTTCTTTTAAAGAGGGAAAATGGTGGAGACTTCTGTATTTTATAGTGCACGATCATGTTTAATTGAGTTTGATATCTGGAAACAAATGTTTATGAAGATTGTTTTTTAGTTAACAGTTAACTAACAGACAGCTTATTATCCATGCTAAATCATTCTTTCATGAAGTTTTTGAGGCTGTATTGCAATTTTACGAAAGTGTTCGGAGAGATCATGTCAAGATAATTCTGACAGTTCTTGCACTTGGGGGATTTAGAGGTGAGCAAAATAGAGTATTTTGTAGTGAATATTAATGTGAAAATACTTTGTAGTGGTCTTGAGTATTCAAGGTTTTTAATCAAATATCTCATTTATCTTTATAGATGATCTTTTTGTACTTTTAATCACTCTGCAGTTTTATAGTTGGATAGTTGGACATCATTTCTCTGTAAAATCACTTTGAGTTGAAACTAGTTCTGTCAAGTCTGCTCTTGCAGGGAATTTTGATTTTAGTGAATATGAATGATGGACATCGGACTTCATTCAGGTAAAGAAATTAGTTCTCCGAAGAGACTTACTTAGGTCCATCAGTGTACATGGGGAGCAGGGAAAAGTTTTTTCCAATAACTTTTTTTTTTTTTTTTTAAAGATTTTACTTATTCGAGACAGCGAGCGAGAGAGCAGGAGTGGGGGAGCAAAGGGAGATGCATACTCCCCACTGAGCAGGGAGCTTGACACGGCTTGATCCAGGGACCCCAAGGATCATGACCTGAGCTGAAGGCAGACGCTTCACTGAATGAGGCACCCAGGCACCCATAACTGTTGTTTTTGATAAATATTTAGCGTAGAGTAAACCTGAGGGTAGCTTCATCTTGTCTTGGTTGTAATGACCTGCTTTTGTGTGCTTTAAAAGTCCATGATACAAATGCCTCTTCAGACTGAGGTTCCAAAAATAGTACCCACTTTTGTTAGGTAAGGGTCAATTTTCTTGGTGGGTTTGCATTTAGAAAATCTAATTTTGCATTTAGAAAATCTCTATTTCGGAAAATGTCAGGGAGGCTGTTGAGGGCAGCTGTCCAAGATCATGTAATTCTCAGTCCATGTGGCCAGGTCAGCCCCGCTGAAGCCAGGATCTCGGTATCCCTGACTCACCATACACATTTATGCCCTGAAATGCATCCTGATAAGCTATTATCTTAGCTCACAGTGTTTCTGAGGCAGAGACTTACTATGCTTCATCAACTAATTCTTGTTTGAAAATGAAAAAGAATTTTTTTAAGTAGTAAATGCTTTGTAGAAAATTTTGAAAATAGAAAAATGTGAAGATTAAAATCACCCACAATTCTTTTGTTAACATTTGAGTATGTTGCCTTTTATAATGTGTAACAAAATTCACCACCCTATGTATACTTCTGTCTTCCTTTCCTCTTAACATTGCGTTTTGAACATTTTAACAAAACACAATATTCTCCCTAAAATGTGTGGATTTTGAATTATTTAGCTGACTGTAAGATAAATTCCCCAGTGTTGGGCCTTTGGGCTGTTTTTAGTTTTTGCTATTATGAGAAAAGGCTATGAATACTTTAAGGCTCTTGACACAAACTGCTTTTTAGAATATATTAAGTTTATTGCATCCAGGAGTTTGTGTTTGTCGCATTATATTCTTACTGTTGAACATTTATATTTTTAAAAAGTCTTGCAGATTTGATGGAAGAATTGTATCTTAGTGTTAATTTGCATTTGTTTGATCACTAGTGAAGCTGAAAAATCACGTTTGGCCATTTGTTATTTTGGTAAACATTCTATTCACATTCTTTGCACTTTTTCCTCCTGCCACATTTGTTTTTCTTACTGATTGGTGAGTGTTCTTAGCCTGTTGGGGATTGAATTACTTGAAAAATTTTTATATTAAGCAGTGGGAACTCAAGGGTGAAGACCCCAAGCCCCCATCAGCAGTCCTTACAAATTTTTTCCTGGATTGACTATGAAGTGGCTAAAAGCTCCACCTTCCCATTTGAAGCCTCTTGTATTCTTAGTGTATTTTAGGAGACTCACTGATAACAAAACACTGAGACATAGTAATCAGGTGGAAACTGCCTCTTTTCAGCTTACTAAATGCAAACAAGGCAGGTAAAATCTGTGCAGTTTTCAATCTGACTATAGGTTAGAATCACTTGGGAGCATTTAAAACTAATGATGCCCAGGCCCCACTCCAGACCAATTCAATCAGGATCTCTGGGTCTCACCCAAGGCATCAGCATTTTTTCCCAGCTTTTTTGAGATACAGTTGAAACATAACATTATGTAAGTTGGAGGTGTACAATGTGGCAATTTGGTATATGTGTATATTGCAGAATGATTACTGCAGTAGGCTTAGTGCACATATCTGTCACTTCACATGGGTGTGTTGAGAACATTTAAGATCTGCTCTCAGCAGCTTTCAGATATACAGTACATTGTTAATTGCAGTCACCATGCGGTACGTTACATCCCAAGAACTTATTCATCCTATAATTGGAAGTTTGTACCCTTTGATCACTTTTACCCATCTCCCCATTCATCCACAATATATACTGTATGAGTTCCCTTATTTTACATTTTACCTACATGTGAGATCATG